ACCCCAACCACCCCCACCCTGGCTCCCTGAGAGCCCAGCAGCACTACCCCAACCACCCCCACCCTGGCTCCCCCACACCCCAGCAGCACGACCCCAACCACCCCAGAGCCCAGCACCATCCCAACCACTCAAGTGTCCACCGTCACCCCAGCGTTCACTACCACCTGGGCGTCTGTCCCAAATGAGACCAGTTCAGAACTATTCTTTACCACAGAACTCTCTTTACTCCTAGAATCCATCACAACAACCCCAGAGTGGAACAGCTTCCTAACTGTCCACGAGATGGCTCAAGGGAATTCTGACACTTTCAAAAGCGATCCTTTTGTCAACTCTGAGTTCTGTTGTCTCCTCCCCCTGGGCTTCTATATTCTGGGTCTCCTCTGGCTCCTGTTTGCCTCTGTGGTACTCATCTTGTTGCTGATCTGGACCTGGCACGTAAATCCACACTCTCTGGACTTGGGCCTCTCCGCCGCCTTGGCCACCAGCACACACACCACAAGTCTGGAGGTGCAGAGGGGAAGGCAAGTAACCGTGCCCCGGGCCTGGCTGCTCTTCCTTCAAGGGTCACCCCCCACTTTCCGTTCCAGCCTGTTCCTATGGGTGAGGCCTAATGGGCGTGTTGGGCCTCTGGTAGCAGGACGAAGACCCTCAGCTCTGAGCCAGGGTCGTGGTCAGGACCTATTGGGAACAGTGGGTATTAGGTACTCAGGCCACAGTCTGTGAAGGTGAGTCCTTTGGAGATCCTGAAAGACTCAAAAGACTCTACTGGGATCTAGCTGGGAGTGGGGAGGTGGGGGCAGTGGTAGATGAGACTGCCACAGGGGCATTCTATTTACTTCTTTATCTGAAGCCCCCTCTTTACATCCAGAGCTCACTAATCAAGAGGCAGTGAGGTGATGGAACCGGGTGGTCATTGAATCAAGTTCCCTATGTTGCTTAGAGAATTGCCAGGCCATATGGTCACTGCTACCATTTTGGGGAAGAGCTAGAAACAGCAAATAGAAATGGAGCATGGTTCCCACATGGAAGAAAACTTGGAAAGCCATTAATCAAGACAGGAGCACTATCCCTAAGTATAATGAGTATTTTTTTCCCTGTAATACTTCTTAGTTTTCCACCAGCATTTCCTGTATAATAAAAATGTTTTAAAAAAAAAGAAATGTAGCTTTCTTTGGGACTTGAGAACAGCTGAAGCACCTGGTACAAGAATTCCCAAGTCCTAGCTGCTTTCACTGGCTCTTGGCATCTGCTGCTTGAGAAGCTAGGATGCTTTATGGGTTTCCACCGTGGACACTGCTTTCCGCTGCCACGTTCTGAAGCTGCCAGTCTCTAGAACTGAGTCTTGTTGATACTGGTGGCTATGGGAACTGCCAAGTTTGCTATAGATGCTGTTTTCTGTGTCTCAGGTTGGGAGATTACTTTTTTATTAAACCTTCATCATAGCCTTAAACCTAAAGCCTATATATTCTACACCTACAATTCTCTGACTTATTTTTCAAATATGAAACTTAGCAAACATCTAAAAGAGATATATTACTTCTTATTCTTAACTAACTTACATTAGGAAGAATCTCTTAGCAAAGTCTCTATAGGGCTATCTTCAGCCTATATTTATAAACCTTATCTAAGTCTCATTTAAGCCTATACAATAAATTACATTCTATAGGACTACCTTAGCAAATATCGTGTATACTTCCTATTTAAATTTATGTTTACAACTAAATTGGTCATTTATTACTACTTCTTTACTTCTTAAAAGCTTATAATTATATGTCTTAAAGAAATTCTCTAGATCTATTTTACAAACTCTTATTATCTAATTTAGCAAATACCTCAAGATTTCTTAACACTTAGAAGAGATTTAGAAAAGATATCTAGGGGAGATTTCTTAACTATTATCACTTTACATAACAGAACTAACTCAACACTAAAGCAAACATCTATAAAAGATTTTTTAGCTAAATTATTAACAAGACCAGAAGTACACAAATCATTTCTTTTTTTATTTTTCTTGGTTTTGTTTTTTTTCCCAGAGACAGGGTTTCTCTGTGTAGCTTTGGATCCTGTCCTGGATCTCGCTCTGTAGACCAGGCTGGCTTTGAACTCAGAGAGATCTACCTAGTTCAGCCTCCCAAGTGCTGGGATTAAAGGCATGCCCTACCACCTTTTTATTATTATTTTTTTTTTTTTGGAGACATGGTCTCACTATGTCGCTCTGCCTGGTCTTCAAATCAAGAGATCCATCGGTTTCTGCCCCCTGAGTGATGATATTAAATAAACTGTACATTTGCACACCTGGCTGTCCCAACACTTCTTTTGGCTAAACATCTTAACATCTTTCTCTTAAGTCCCTCATTATTAGAATTTTTAGGGTTTGGGGTATAGTTCTGTGGTAAAGTAGTTGCCTAAGATAGGAACCCTGGGTTCTTCAGCTCTGAAAAAAAAAATGGAATATTTTATTTTCATGGTACTGGGGATCCAATTTTCACCTCAATTATCCTAGGCAAGTGCTCTACTGTTGAGCTGTATTCTAGAACTAAGAAGTAGAAGTTGTCTTTTTGTTTGTTTGAGACAGGGTCGTGCTGTGTAGCTTTGGACCCTGAATGGTTTGGAACTATGTGTACTAGGTTGGCCTTAAACTCACAGGCCTGCCTCTGCCTCCCAAGGGCTGGGATTAAAGGTGTGTACCACCATGCCTGACTAAAAAAAAAAATCCATTTTATATAATAAATGTGGGTACATATTTATTTTTCAAAATATAGATTCTGAAGTTTAACAAATATATGTAAAATTTTTTAATGTCAGGAAGTGGAAGCCGTGAATTAAAAGCTTGGATTCAGAGCTTAATAAAACCATCATAACTGCTTTTAGTAGATTGGATAAAATGACTTACACAATCATTTGATCTTCGCTGGGTCAGACTGAAAGTCCTTCTGAGACAGATGGTGATGTCACATGCTTTTAATCCCAGCACTTGGGAGGCTGAGGCAGGTGGATCTCTGAGTTTGAAGCCAGCCTGGCCTACAGAGAGAGTTTCAAGGTGTCCAGGGCTACACAGAGACACCATGTCTCAAAAAACAAAAAACAAAAACAGGAAGCCCTCTGGAAGGCAGCTTGCCTCATTGTTCTTCCATCCCGTCCTCAAAGCTACCTCAGAGTGCTGTGTGCCCCCTTCCTCAGGAGGAGCTGCCACAGACAGAAGAACAGCGGGGTTCCAGGCTGGGTCCTTCAACAATGCGTTCTTTAGATTACTGTTCAGAAACAAGATCATGACAGAAGCACCCACCCACACACACACACACACACACACCACAAACACCCCCCCCACACACACACACACACACAATGAGGCTCACGTGAGTAATGGGGAGCAGCCGGGAACAGACACAGCTGCCCAGGTCCCGGCAGATGAAATGTACCAGGGCTGGACTTCATTGTTTATCTCATTTTTTTTTCCTATTAGGAAACCGAAAACTAAACATCTGAGAGGGATAGACCCAAGTCCAATGGAAACTGGACCTGTTGCAGATCTTAATCCTGAGCTAAAGTTAGGATTATTTTGCCCAACCATGGTGGCGCACACCTTTATTCTCAGTACTTGAGAAGCAGAGGCAGGCAGACCTCTATGGTTTGAGGCCAGCCTGGCCCTAGTTTACAGATGGAGTTCTAGGACATCCTGGGCTACATATAGAGAAACCTGTCTCAAAATCACAAAACAAAAAAAGGATTATTTTTATTTTATTTTATTTTGTTTTTGTTTTTTGTTTCTTTCTTTTTTTTTGTTTTGTTTTTTTTGTTTTGTTTTGTTTTGTTTTGTTTTTGTTTTTCGAGACAGGGTTTCTCTGTGTAGCTTTGGGCCTTTCCTGGATCTCGCTCTGTAGCCCAGGCTGGCCTTGAACTCACAGAGATCTGCCTGCTTCTGCCTCCTGAGTGCTGGTATTAAAGGCGTGCACCACCAATGCTTGGCAAATTATTTAAAAAAAAAAAAACAACACCAGGCCTCATGGTACAATATACAGAAAAGGCCTTTTAACAATGAAAAAAGAAATACAAGAGCCAGGTGTGACTGAGGCCCACCTTTAATCCTAGCATTGAAAAGGAGGAAATTCAAGAGCAGCCTTGGCTACCTTAACAAGAGTTAATCTCTGAAAAGAGAAAAAAAAAAGAGAGAGAGAGAGAGGGAGGAGCACTCAGGAGTCCCTTTGGGAATGTGAGTGCAAACAAGGAGTCTCCGGTCCCACAAAAGGGTTACACAGAGAAACCCTGATTCAAAAAAACAAAGTAAGAAAGAAAGAAAAATAAAACAGGCTGGAGAGATGGCTCAGCCATGAAAAAATACTGACTGCAGTTTCCTGGAGGCTAAAGTGAATCATGCTGAAGGGGAGCTGATGAAGACAGCAGATACACACCTCAAAATAGCATTCAAGAAATGCATGGACCTGACAGCATTCAGTGTGTTTAACTCCTATGAAGAAACAGACAACCATGCCGCTTAGAAGAGGGTTTGATGGGGGCTGGAGAGATGGCTCAGTGGTTAAAAGCACTGCCTGCTCTTCCAGAGGTCCTGAGTTCAATTCCCAGCAACCACATGGTGGCTCACACCCATCTCTAGTGGGATCTGATGCCCTCTTCTGGCATAAAGTTGTACATGCAGATAAAGCACTCATAAATAATGAAATCTTAAATTTAAAAAAAAAGAGTTTGACGAACGGAGCCACCGTGACCGATGCTCTTTAAGCGGTAGCTAGGCGACAGGTGTGCAGTGTTCACATCTATGTCTCATGCTGGTTTGGAGCTCCATGAGAGCAACTATCACTGAGTTCCCTGGGCTCCACTAAGCAACTCCTTCCCCATATTCCTTAAAGAAAAAAAATACTGGCTGCTCTTCCAGAGGGCCTGGCTTCAATTCCCAGAACCTCTTTTTTTTTTTTTTTTTTTTTTTTTTTCTTCCATGTGAAAGCAAAGAGCCTTATTTCAGCTCAAGCTTGCACTCCCTGTCCATAGAGGCAGCTGTGAGAGCAGAGAGTGCCCAGCCCAGGCAGGGTAGGGTTTTTGTCATAGTAGAGGTTGGGGGTGAGGGGATTCCCAGAGTTCAGGACCCTGACTGGCTGACCCTTGTCTAGGGGTGTCTTGGCAAAAAGGGAAGAGGCAGCACCCACTCTCAACTCACAACCATCTATAACTCCCAATTCCAGGAGATCTAGCACCTCTGCTGGCCTCTCAGAGACTGGCATGCACATGGTGCACAGATATATATGCAGGTAAAACAAACACAACCAAAGTTTACAAAGAAAAAGTCCTTGGGACTTCCTCAGTATAGGAACATCTTGGTGAAGGATGTCTCATTTCAATTTCTCACCTCAGGTCAGAGGACTAACACAAGATGATGTAAGGGAAGAGGAGTCTCATGTAGACAGAAACTGGATGACACATTCATGGGAAAAGCCAGGGCATCACAGCTTGGGTTCAGAGAACGAGATGGAGACGGTGAGACTCCAGGTGTAGTGTGAGGACTCTGATACGCCTGAAAAGCAGGGAGGTAAGAGTTCAGTTAGAAAAACTTCTAAGAAATCCTAGTCAGCAAGCAGGGCATGCTGGCATGCACCTGTAATCCCAGCACTTGTTAAGTGGAGGCAGGAGGGTCGAGAGTTCAAGGCCAGCCTGGGCTACATCAGACCCTGTCTCAACAGAACAGAACAGAACAAATAACCAACCATAGTTACCAAAGCAGTCTGAGGTGGGACACAAATAACAAAGGGTACAAGAGGCAGTTTCAAACGATGTGTTACAGCCTCATGTGTTTAATATGCTCACCTCCAATACTGAATATTATGCTACATATTGAAGGTAGGTGATGCCAGGAGCAGTGGTAGAGGCCTTTAATCCCAGCACTCGGGAGGCAGGTGCAGGCAGATCTCAGATCTCACGGCCAGCCTAGTCTACCTAGCAAGCTCCAGGCCAGCTAGAGCTACATAATAAGACCCTAACAAACAAGTAAAACTGAGTGTAATTGTGAAGTGAACAGCCACTTTGGAACGCTGGCAGCTTCCTACAATGTTGAGCATGCATTTCCTACAGGGATGCTCACAAGCATCTGTGACTCCAGGTCCAGGGGATCCTCCACCCCCTCCTGGCCTCTGCAGGCACTGCATGCATGTGGTGTACAGACATTCAGGCAAACACTAAGACACACAAAATAAAAACAAATAAAATCAAAAATGAAGAAGAAATTAACAGTAGAGTCTACATAAATGAGGATATCTGTGTCAATGAGTTACCTTCATATTATAAAGATGTTCATTCTCCTTAAGGTAATCTATAAATAATTTTTGAAAGGAACTTGATACTCATTTTAAAATGTATATAACAGTGAAAAGGTCCATGAGCAGCTTTTGTCAGTTTTGAAAAGGGCCATAGGAGGGACTCACCCTACCCCATGTTAGAACACATCACAAAGGCCACAGCAAACACTCTAACAGCAGGAATGGGAGGTGCTGGGACCTGGAAGAACAAGGAGGGACCCAGAGCACCCAGATTCTAGGGCATCAGGGGGAGAGGCAGTTACCAACCACAGCGGCCAGGGCCTCCATGGAGAGAAAAGCAAGCAAGCTGCTCCCACACACACCCCCAGATACAATGTAACCCGGGGAATCACAGGTTAAGAGAAAAGAAAACTGACTGAAGGGACTGGAGGAGTCGTTGTGATTTGGGGAACTTTCTCTGTTTTTAAAGAACAATGTATCAAAAGCACTGCTGGAGAAAGAAACACTGGACAGAAGGTGGTGGAGCAGCTTTTAATTCCAGGACTTTGGAGGCAGGGGGATCTCTGAATTTGAGGCCAGCCTGGTCTACAGAGCGAGTTCCAGGACAGCCAGGGCTACACAGAGAAGCCCTGTCTGGAAAAACCAAAGGTGAGGAGAGGAGACAGGGAAGAGTTTATTCTGGGGTTAGAGAGATGGCTCAGAGGCTAAGAACTCTGGCTGCTCTTCCCGAGGTCCTGAGTTCAGTTCCCAGCATCTGTGTAGTGGCTCCCAACTGTCTGAAAAACAGCATGCTTGAGAGGCAGAGGCAGGGGGATCTCTCTGAGTTCAAGGCTAGCCTGGTCTACACAGCTAGTTCAAGGACATCCATGGCTCTTACACAGACAAACTATGTCTCGAAAAAACAAAGAAACATGTGGGTGGGGGTGGAGCAGGGAGACGCTCAGCCAGGACTTAAAAGTCTGACACCCTTGTTCAAGCCCACAATCCATAGAAAGATGGAAGGGGAGAAATGACTCCACAAAGTTGTTCTGCGACACCACATGCCTTCACTCACACACAAACACAAGAAAATAATTTTTATTATTAATTAGCTGATTAGCTGACAATTGTCTAGGGGTATCTTAAAAAAAAAAATAGGTATGTGCTAGATTCAAGGACATCTGGTCACCTTATCTAATGGTTGGAAAGTTTGGATGTCAGGTACTTGCTCATCCCTGGGTGGATCCCTGGGTTAGGTATCAGCTTAAGGCTTTTCCTGGATCTGGGTGTTGCCTGCCAGTAAGCCTGTCACAGAAGCTGTGTCTAGGCCCCTAAGCCTGTCATGGCTGCTGTGTGGTCAAGCTATTTTGGGGGGGCCCCTTCACACTTCCTCAACCATTGGACAATGACAATCAACTCCCACACATGATTTCCACACACAGGCACTGTGGCACCCATGTACCTGCATGCACATGCTATCAACGATTGAAAAAAAAAAAAGCTGGCATGGTCTTTAACTTCAGCACTCAGGAGGCAGAGATCTCCATGACTTAGAGGTCAGCCTGGTCTGTGTAGTGAGTTCCAGGACAGGCAGGGTGAGAGTGGCAGGGGTGGGGTGGGGTGGGGATGAAGACGGAGAGGAGAGAGGAGAGAGGAGAGAGGAGAGGGAGAGGAGAGGGAGAGGAGAGAGATAGACCCTTTCTCAAAACAGAAAAGAAATTGAAAATAAACAAGACAATAAAATTTCACTAGTCAGCTCAGGCTAACCTTGAACTCACTAGTCTCAAGGTCATGGAGATCTACCTGTCTCCGTCTTCCAGGTGGGATTGCAGGTATTAATTACCATTGGTTCCAATGTCAATTTGCCACAGATTGGACTCCCCTGAGTAGGGAGCCTCCCCTGAAGATCTGTGCTGACTGCCTTGACTGATGGGGGAGGGCCCATGGAGACTGCGGACTGACCTTCAGACAGAATTCCAGGTAAAGAGGGTAATATAGAAGAACATAAGGACATTCCCTCGCTTCTTTCCTTCCTTCCTTCCTTCCTTCCTTCCTTCCTTCCTTCCTTCCTTCCTTTTTCTTTCTTTCTTTCTTTCTTTCTTTCTTTCTTTCTTTCTTTCTTTCTTTCTTTCTTTCTTTCTGTTTTTTGAGACAGAGTTTCTCGATGTAACTACCACCCTGGCTGTCCTGGAACTAGCTCTATAAATCAGGCTGGCCTCAAACTCAAGGAGATCCATCTGCCTCTGGCTACCAAGTGCTGGGATTAAAGGTGTACACCACCACTGTCTGGCTTCCTTTTTGTTTTTTGTTTTTTTTTTTTTAAATTTCTTTTTGTGTGTGTGTTGAGGTGGGGCATGTCTGGATTTAATAAAGATCTTATGCTGGGCTTTGGTGGTGCACACCTTTAATCCCAGCACTCGGGATGTAGAGACAGGTGGATCTATGTGAGTTCGAGGCTAGCCTGGTCTCCAAAGCGAGTTCCAGGAAAGGCACAAAGCTACACAGAGAAACCCTGTCTCCAAAAAATAAAAAATAAAAAAAAATTAAAAATAAAAAAAATAAAGATCTTTAGAGCCTTTGTGAGAGCAGGGTCCCACACATCTTGGGAAACCCACACTGATGGCAACAGGGCTCTAGGGCCTGCAGATGACCCCAAGGCTGCATTTCTTCTGGCTTCTCCTAGTCACTGAGCATTGTGGCTTAGCTCATTAGGCTGTCTCTTGTCTTAATTAGCTGCAGGTGACCCTGTTTGGGCAGTCTTAGCTCTGTACAATCCTGGGCAGTAAATCCCAGGATGGCGCCTCCTCTTTTCAGAATCACTTCTAGGTCCACAGGCTTAGTCCATTATCTTCCCAGCAGCATCCATGGTGCTGGAGCAGTGGCTGAGAGTTACATCCTGGTCCTGGATGGAGGTGGGTATTGAGGATTTATTTTATTTCATTTTATGTGTATGAATGATTTGCCTGTATGTATGTATGTCTATGTGCCACCTGCCCATGGAATTCAGAAGAACGGAAGAACTGAAGTTAGAAATGGTTGTGAGCCACCATGTGGGTGCTGGGAATTGAACTTAGGTCCTCTGCAAGAGCAGTCAGTGCTCTTAACTACTGAGCCATACCCCCAACCGCATAGAGAGAGAATTTCTTTAATTTCATTTTATGTGTATGAATGTTTTTCCTAAAAGGATGATTATGCATCATGAGCAAGCTGCATGCCCAGAAAGGTCAGAGGAGGGCATCGGACCCCCTGGACTGGAGGTACAGACAGTTGTAAGCCACCATGTGGGTGCTAAGAGTTAAACTGAGTCCTTTGCAAGAACAACAAGTTTTCTTGTCCATTCCGTGTGGCTCCTGTGTGCACACGTTTAGGGCCGAGCACTTGGATTGGAAAACAAATAGGGGCCTCATCGCTGGAGAACACGATTCTCCCTCCCTCAGCAACCGCTGCTTGTAGCTTTTCATCTAGGGGTGGGGCCTTGTGAAATTTCCCCATCAACACTGGCATGTCAACTGGTGTGTGGTCATTATGAAGGTCTTGTTCATGCCCCCTCTGGCCCCCAGGGGGCACCAGACATGTGTACATGCAGGCAAACATACATATAAAAATAAAAATAGATAAACCTCAAAAGAAGTCCCTAAATCCAACCCTAGCAACCCTCACTGCACCCCCATCAAAAACTGCATTATGATAAAATGACGTTAGAGGAAGCAGAGAAAAGACAGACATAAGGCTGAGCGAGGAGGCAAATGTCTATAATCCTAGCACTTGAGACAGAGGCAGGAGGATTTTGAGTTTGAGGTCAGCCTGGGCTACAGAGGAAGACCCTGTTTCAAAAACAAAAACAACAGCAAAATAAACCCCCTACACAGAGAAAGCCAAGTGCCCTGGGGCAGGGGCAGGGACTGTAGGAATTTATACAGTAACTAATCCTGCCCAGAGCAGAGCAAAGTGCAGTTTCCCTCCTGAACTTGATCCAGGGCAAAAGCCCACACAGAACACCCTGCTGAGAGACTGCTCCTGTAGCATCCAAAGAGATCCCAGGGGATCTGAGGTCACAGCTTAATTAGTGACTGAACCATGTAGACACCTGCTGGAAACATTCAACTTCACACATGGAGACTTATTCTGACTCAGAACTGATTCCCCAAGCCCTACCCCCACCCCACCACCCGACCCCCACTTCTCCCTCCCTCTTTGTCCCCTGTCTATTTTAGATAGGGGCTTGACATTTTGCCCAGGCTAGCCTCCAACTCCTGGTCTCAATGATCTTTCTGCCTCAGACTCTCAAATGTTAGAAGAAGCTGGGGAGGGTGGCACATACCTTTCTTGCCACATGCAAGACAGAGGCAGGTAATAATACATCCTTTTCAGGTCCTTGATGAAGTTGAAGACCAGATAGTTATAATTATATGTTTCCCTAGCCATGATCAGAGGGTAAATTAGACAGGAAACTTTAGACTCACAAAAATAAGATACATGATAGACTATTTTCTTTAATTTTGCTAAATATGGGCTGGAGAGATGGCTCAGCTGTTAAAGGCTAGGCTCACAATCAAAAATATAAGAGTTCGGTTCCCAGCACCCATGGCTGTCTCTCCAGCCAATCAAAAAAATAAAATAAAATAAAAAATAAATAAATTAGACATTGTGACTATAATTCTTGCTTGGTAACTGTTTTGTTACATGTAATTTTATTATATTAAAATTAAAAATTTCCTTTTTGATTAGACAGGAGAGGGGAAGTGCTGTGAATATGTGTTGTTCCCATTGGAAAATAAACAAAGCTGTGTTGGCCTATGACAAGAAAGCTTATAGCCAGGTGAGAAATCCAAGAGAGTTAGAGAGAAAAGAAAGGCAAAGTCAGGAGAGACCCGATCCAGCCACCCAAGAAGGAAGATGTGAAAGTACTGGTAAGCCTTGTGGAAAACATAGATTAATAGAAATGGGTGGAATTAAGTTATAAAAGCTAGTCAATAATGAGCCTGAGCCATAGGCCCTACATGTTGTATTAATATAAGCCTCTGTGTTGTATTAATATAGGCCTCTGTGTTGTATTAATATAAGCCTCTGTGTTGGGAATGAGCAGCTGTGGAACTGAGCCAGACAAAGGAAAACTTCCAGCTACTGATCTCTGAGTTCAAGGCCAGCCTGGTCTACATAGTGAGTTCCAGGACAGCCAGGGTTATATAAAAAAGACCCTGATGCAGAAAAACAACAACCAATTAGAAATGCAGCAGGTGGGCACCACTACGACCACAGCCCAGCCCCTTCCTCTACTTGACAACACCAGGCTCCTGGGACTCACTTGGTAGCCCAGCCTGGCCTCGAACTCACAGAGATCCGCCTGCCTCTGCCTCCCGAGTGCTGGGATTAAAGGTGTGTGCCACCACCGCCCAAAAGAAAAGAATTTAAAAGCTAGCTACGAGTGCCTCTTCTAGGAAGCCAGAGAAGCAAGGCAACACCAGAGGTCCCTCACGGTTTCTATGTCACCTTCCCGTTTCCGCTCCCGGTGGCTCCTCTCGGTGGTGGACTGTGGCCTGGAAGTAGAAGACAAATAAATCTTTTCCTCCCCCAGGCTGCTTACGGTCGGAGTGTTTTATTACAGCAACAGAAATGAACAATGACAACCAACAGCAAATGGGCTAAGCCCAGAGAACTCCATTCCAAGACATCATGTGCCCAGGTTGGCCTAAAATCCTCAGGCTCTCCCTGCCTCAGCCTCCACAGTGTGGGATTACAGACAGGGATGATGATGGCTGGCTCATGATTGCATTTTCCCCCCAAACTAAAAATCTCTTTCAGAGCCAGGTGGTGGTGGCCCAAGCCTT